GCCCAAGATTCCAAGAGGAGAATGGAGGAGAAGGGATTGCGGTGTGGCTATCCCCCCAGGGGGTGATTTCTCGCTTTCTGTCTCTCTCTGTCTGTCTGGCCAGCGTACGTGCCCTACAGCAAAAACCTCTCCAAAAAAAAGAAAAAAAAGAAAGTAGAAATGGAAAATTATTGACGATAACATGTATGATTAAGCCCCTGTGCAGTGTATTCTGGATGGGAAATCACATTTTGTATGCTGTGACAATGCTCAGGGAATGAATATAAATTATTAATTAATTAAAATTTTTAAAAATTAAGAGAAGGAGGAATGGCCCATACAGTGCAGGGCAGAAGAGCAGCTGTGCTCCCTACCCAGAGCCTCGAAATGGATTTAGATTTCGTCAGCCTGGCATATATTTCACAGCCGAAAGTGCATACTTCCTTAACCTTTGGTAATACTTTAAACTGGAAGATGCTTCTAAGAAGAAGAATGCGATTTTTTTCTTTCTCCGAGCTTCCTCACACCAGGCTTTTCAAGCAGAGCTAAAATTAGTAACGCGTGCTGGAGCCGTGGCCAGCGAAGTCTGCGAGGAGGCGTGCTCCTTCAGCCCGTTCTGGGCTCTCGGAAGATGCTCTGCCAGGCCTCCTGGGTAGACGGGAGGTCAGCGTGGCACCTGCCACTTGCGAGTGTCTCCGCTGTGCCAGTCGTGCGCACGTCACACTGTGAGGAGTGATGTCTGTGCCAAGCCCTTTGTGTGGTCAGAGATGATGGTTCTGTGAGGTCCTGGATGGCCGAGCTCGTGGACGGCAGCACCAGGGTTGGAACCCACCCAAAGCCGTGCCCTGGTGCCCTCCACTGCCTCGGCACGAGTCTGACTACCCTTCCCTACCAGTGCATGCGTGTGCGTGCATGTGTGCCTGTGTGCGTGCGTGTGTGCCTGTGTGCACACGTGTGTGCGCGTGTGTGCCCGTGCTGTGCTGCCACCTTGCTCTCTGTCCCTTCCTGACTGCTCCTGTCCCGCTCCCTTGCGTCATGACCAGATCTGTTTATATTATAATTTTTTTGCCTCTTTCCTACCCAAATGGTACGGGGGCCGGGCTGCCCAGTGCTTTGCTCCCGAGCTGTGGCAGCCACGAGGCGCATTGCAGAAGTCCACGCTGCTCCGCGTCTCCCAGTCGGCCCGACAGCAGAGCCGAGAAAGGTTACAGATGACGGTGTGGACCTGTTCGGTATGCAGATGATGCCACGGTGCAGATGACTTTACATCCGGGTCACCGAGTCCTGAGCGACTCGTTTCTGTCGCTGCCTGCTCAGTATGTCGAGCTGTGAAGAGAGGAGTATTTGAATGTACAGGAATGACTCAGATCTTCAAGAATGAATATGAAAGAACTGACTTCCAAAGTGCAAGCCCTCCCCCTCAGTGCTGCGGTCTCCCTCCGGGCAGAGGCTGTGTCCCGCAGGTCCTGTGGCCGCAGTTCCTGCACAGTGAGGGCCGTGCACAGCCTAGCTGCGGCCACACGCTGGCCTGCGCACTGCGTTTACCGTAGTTTTTGCAGTGGTGGAAGTCGAGATGCCGTGGGACTAATTTTAAGAATCTAGTGCTCATCTTACGAGGCCTGTTGACTATACTTTCGTTTAAATGCGTGTATCTGATCAAAACATAGTGTCCTTTGAATTATAAATAACCCAGCCTGCGTATATGTGGTTTCCATGAAATAATGACTGTGGCAGTTAGTGATGGACGCCGTAGAGAAAAACAGGAAAGAAATAAAGGCAGGGATGGGCGTTTCTTAGTTAAATAAGGGTGGGGCCCAGGCGGCGGCACGGCCTTAAACAGGTCACTGCGAGGTGGGCCCGCCTGGCAAGGTTCCAGGCTCATGGCCAGAGATCTGCCTGAGGGCTCCAGACGTGCGTGTGCCCCGATTCAGGGCTGGCTGGGCTGGGGATGTATCGTCCTGGCAGCACCCCGATGGGGTGCTGTCTCTTTGTCTCTTTCTCTCTGTCTCTCTCACTCATGGAAGAAATAAGTAAACTTTAAAAAATAAATTAATAGTATGGCCGTGCGTGGTAGGTGAGTACTGGAAGAACGTAAAACATTTCAACGTTTCAGCCTGAACAGATGGGATCGGTACCAGGTAAGTATCCTCACTGCTCCCGTTTGAGCCAGGAGGGCTGAGTCGGGCTGTCTCCTGTTCATACTCATTTTAAACCGGCGCGGTTACTTTGGACTGCTCTTCTCCAGCTCTTTGGTGAGCTAAATAATTGCTCACTTCTGCCCTTGGTCCTCTCGGTTATTTCTGCTGGACTGTGGAACAGAAAATCAAACACAGTTTAAAACTGAGTATTTTAGAAAGCATTAGTAGGAATGGTTTGAGAAGTGTCATTAGTGATGGGCGACATCCAATAAATGCTGGTTTCTGATCGCCATTTGTGTTTTAAACTCACTTTCAGATGAAAACATTCTGGCTGAGATGGGGTGAGGGACATAGGTATTTCAGCTCTCTAGACAATGAAGGCAAAGCATTTGTTAATAGGGATGACCGGAACATCAGTTAGAACTTGGATCCGATATAGACACATACTTATATATTTATATGTAGCTTTTCACAGTGAAGTCCACTCAGTCCCACCTTGGCTCAGGGTCAAGTTCGGCCGAACTACGTCCGAAACACGATATTCGGCAGTGAGAATGCCTGATCGCACGTCTCACGCGAGCGGCGGGAGTCGATGCGGTGTCTTGCGGCATCACAGTTGCCCACAGGCGGAAGAGCCCAGGCCGGGCGCAGGAGGGTGTCTGCCTGCCGGTGTAATCTGTCTCCCTGCTCCCTCCGCAGATGATCCAGTCCCTCAAGGCGCTGATCGAGAACGCAGACGCTGTGTATGAGAAGATCGTGCACTGCCAGAAAGCGGGTAAGCGAAACTCCGGGTCCTCTTCAGAGTGAGATGAGGAGCGGCCTGTGTCTTGCCCTGAAACCACGTCTTTCTGATGCCCGAGCGAGAAAGTCAGATATAAGCCCTCCTTTTCCAGGGCTACAGTAAATGCCGGTGCAGTGACTCCCAGCCTGGGTCACAGACCCACATGGGAGGGGCTCTCAGGGGACGTCGGCCCTGGCCCGGGGCGGCTCTGAGACTGAGAACCTCCACGTCCATCCTCTGCCACCCGCCCTGACAAACCTCCTCCCAGTCCCTCTGACTTCGGGCACACACGGGCTAAGGGGCAGAGGATGGGTGCCAGACGCAGCCCCGTGACACTTCAGCACGCTGGCCTTCCCACGTGCTACTCGTTCATGTTAACTGCCCGCCGTTGTACTGGGCTATGAGATTCTGTACCTAGACGGCTGCTGGGTTGCTCTACCTGTGCTGAAACCCCGAACCCAAGTACCCGGTGGTGTAGCTCTGGTGTATATGCAAGTATCCTTCTTTCGATTTTCTAATTTCTTTTTGAGCGTCAGTTTGAAAGAGTCTAATATGGAGGATATTTGTAAGCTTTAAAGAAGACCATGTGCTCTTACTGAGGTTTTTTGGTTTGCTGTTCTTTAAAATCAAGACATTGCAACTGTCGGCTTCTTATACTCATCTGTCTTAGAAATGAACTCATTTGAAATAGATGGATGACAAGAATGGGAGTGACACCCTCCGCTCCCACCCCCAGGTGTCTACTGAGGAATATTCATTCACTTTAGCGCCCGATCAGCCATCTCCCGAATCCTGGCCTTGTCCTGCTCATCCTACGGGCACAGTGTCGTTAGCAGAGTGATCCTCCACGGTCCAGTCCTTTTCAGGGCGATTCTGCCTGCCGTCCACAGCTAGAACAAGTTGTCTCAGACACCATTTTTGCCATGTCGCTGTTCTATACAGAATCAAGGAGCTTCCCGGGGTCTCGTATCAAATCCAAGCCTCCCACTCCATGTGCAGCCGTAGGCCAAGTAGCCCACTCTTTTGCCAGTACTACATGAAATATATTAGTTAATCCATCTGTTTGTGTATGTAATAAATATGTTTTGAGCTGTTGTATGCAAGAGGTACTTGGCATCTCTGTCATACCGAAGTATGGGGGAATAGTTAGACCGCTGCAAGTGACCTTCAGAGCAAGTCAGGTACATGTTATACTCAACATCAGGAGTCGCAGCTTGGTTCGTGAGGTAGTGGGAGCCATCGGTTTTGTTTGGTTTTTAATTCTCCAGAGGGTCCATATGCGAGAGAGAGAGAGAGAGAGGGAGGGAGGAGGAGGAAAGCAAGAAAGCACACACCCCCCTCCCCACGGAGAATGGTGACGCTGCGATCCCTTTGCCCACATTTCCCTCCTTTGGGGAGTCCGGGCATGCAGGCACACGTCCTCAGCGTGTTTTTCTAGCCTCCAAGTCCAGGTCTTGAACCGTGTAGTCAGCCATGTGCGACCCAGCTCATATAACCACCAGGCCATTGGCTGGCCCTTATTTTGTTGCTTGTTTGTTTGTTTTGAAAGTTTATTCATTTATTTTGAGAGAGAGAGAAAGGCGGACGACAGGGTCTTCCTGCTGCGGCCCTCCGGCAGCCCACGCTCGGGCGTCCAAGCACATACTGTGTGCTTTTCTTCCTCTGTTGCCTCAACAGTCTTCCGGAAGACCTTGCCCGAGTCCAGCACTTACTCCATTCTGTTGAGCCCTTCATACCCGCGGAACATGTGCTTCAGCTGAAGGAGCATCTTCAGTTATTGGTTGTTCTGTTAGTACATTCCATCTCGGTAGTCTTTCCCCCCTGAGAGAGAAAGATTATTGCTACAGGGCACATGTGCTTGCCAGAGAGACAGAAAGCAAGATGGCCGCGCCGCAGGCCCTTCTCCTCCATTCTCCTCTCCAGATCCTGAGTGCACATGCCCATGTGCCTGGTCACCAGGTCTGGGACTCGAACCGCGTTTGGCTATGTGGGAGTCCAGCAACGTAACCATCACGCTATCCACTGGTCCCGGTGTATTCCATCTACCAAACAAGGTAATAACCCCCCAGGGCTCCAGCCTGTCTGTTAAGTGCCCTCAGTGTTTCCCTCCTGGACAGAGTGGTCACTCAGCAGTGACTGATGAAATGCGATTTCATTTCTGTTACGTATTTAGCTCTATTAAACGAGTGCATTGCTCTGAGAATTGTGCACTTTGTGGAATTTGAAAAAAAAATACTGTTTATCAGAAAAAAGAAATGTTTATTCTTTCAACAATTTGAGTTATTGTCATTTCTTTGCAAATTCATTGGCTCATGAAATTCGATCATTTCTAGAATAATGCGGCTTTATGTTATCCTTCTGTTCGACTTCATCAAGGGGTACGTTGGCTTGTGCTTGAACAGCTGAAGAATTTGGCCATTAGGGATTTTGCTTGGAGCGGAGGGGAGAAGCCGCCGTTCTGGTCTGTGGCTCTGGGTGTAAAGGCCTCCAGGGGCGTGTCAAGATTACCCCATCTCACAGTCACTGGGGTTATTGGGAGCTCACAGTTACCCTAAGGACAGGCAGCCATCAGTCAGTGAAGAAGTGCCCGTTTGTATTGGGCTTAAAAGATATTCACGTGAGATTTTGCTTTTGTTATCTTGCTTTGAGGGACTTAAATCTTGCAAATGAAAATATAGGTCACCAAAGTACTGCAAAGAGAGGATTATTTTAGAAGTATTTCAAAGTTTAAAAAAAAAAAACAAAAAACGAATGTTATTATTAGATAGACCTTTACTTAAATGATTCCGTGGGGATCCCTGATGCTGGAGCGAGCAGGGACGCCTGCAGACCCGATTACTGGAACTCAGTTCTGTGCCATTCAAGATTACCCCATCTCACAGTCACTGGGGTTATTGGGAGCTCACAGTTACCCTAAGGACAGGCAGCCATCAGTCAGTGAAGAAGTGCTCGTTTGTATTGGGCTTAAAAGATATTCACGTGAGATTTTGCTTTTGTTATCTTGCTTTGAGGGACTTAAATCTTGCAAATGAAAATATAGGTCACCAAAGTACTGCAAAGAGAGGATTATTTTAGAAGTATTTCAAAGTTTAAAAAAAAAAAAAAAACAAAAAACGAATGTTATTATTAGATAGACCTTTACTTAAATGATTCCGTGGGGATCCCTGATGCTGGAGCGAGCAGGGACGCCTGCAGACCCGATTACTGGAACTCAGTTCTGTGCCATTTGCCACTCAAGAAGGCCGCCCTGAGGGACACTGGGCAGTGAATAAGGACGGAGTTTGCTGGCTGAGACCGGCACCAGGCAGAGAGTGGCCCCTAACCGCCTCTGCCAGCCTGGGTGGGGAAGGTGGAGGAGAGAGCGGACATCCAGGAGCAGGGGGAGTTACTCATTGTCTGGGGGCAGAATTGAGGAGGCCGGGTCCTTGTCTCCCAGAGGGATAGGAGACAGTTTCACGCAGGGCGTCGGGGGCAGCATGACCAGCCTCAGTTCTCAGCCAGGGCTTAAGGACAAGCACCGATTGACGTGCAGCAGAAGCAAAGTGGGATCCGTCACTCTCCCTCTCTCTGTCTCTCTCTGGTGAGCACATATGCCTTATAGCAAATTAAATGATGATAAACAATTTCTTAAAAATTTTTCAATTTAATTCTATTTATTTGTTCATTTATTTTAATTTGACCAGAGAGGGAAACAGAGAGAGAGATAGGGAAAGTGAGAAGGCAAGCCACCGGGTCTGGGACTCAAACCATGGTTTGCCGTGTGGGAATGTCCAATGCCTTAACCGCTGGTCCCAATAATAAATAATTACTTAAAGAAGCAGCAGTAGCAGCAGCAGCAGCGGCAGCAGCGAGGCTCTGCTATGGCTCTGTAACGCTTGAACTGATCCCATGGAAGGGGCTGGTGGGGCCTTCCCCTCCCCTCCTGCACAGCCCGTATCTGTGCGGCTCAGCAGCCGGGTCCACTTTCATTAAGCATTAAGCATTAGGTGTCCTCTATACCTAGGGAGGGAAAAGGTTAGGTTCTGTAGGACTCCTTGTTAGGGAAGTGAAAGACAGAAGTTGAAGAGTGATTTTCCTAAGGTCTCATCTACCAAGATGGACTCCGTGGCCAGCATGGAGTCCTTCAGCTTCTCTGGTGGCTTGGTGACGTGGGGACCAGACACCCACCCCAGGCGCGTGTTGGAGAGTAACCCGGTCCAGGCGTGCTCAGCCTCCTGGCCGTGTGGTTGCTTCCTTTTTTCTTTTCTAGAGAGGAAACTGAGTGTGCTAATGTGATAGGGAGAGAGAGAGGGCAGGAGACCCAGGAGAGGAGTACTGAGCGGTGAAGACAGCCTGCCTAGACAGGGCAGAACCCACAGGCCCTGGAGGCCACGACCTAGAGGGACCTGAGAAGGAGCAAGCGGCGGCCGGGGTAGTCTGTTCTTTAAAGACGACAGCGTGGTAGCTTGGAGAAGGTCAGAGGCAAAGCGAAATTTTAATCGGAAAGCCAGTGAGGAGGAAGGCGTTAAAAGGTGAGACAGAGGGGAACCAGCAGATGGCATAATGGCTACACTACTGGGCTCTCACATAGTCAAGTGTGGTTCTAGTCCCAGACCCGGGGACTTAAAACTCACACCTGAGGGCCAGCAGATGGTTACATTGCCGAACTCCCACGTAGTCTACCACGGTTCAAGTCCTGGATCTGGCCACTTAAAATTCATGCTGAGCATGTGCATGCATGCCCCAAATCCTGAGAGAATGGAAGAGAAGGGACTGTGGCATGACCATTCCATGTGGGGGTTGATTTCTCGTTTTTTGTCTCTGTCTCTTTCTGTCTGGCAAGTGCATGTGCCCTGTAGCAAAATCTCTCTCAAAAAAAAGGGGGGGGGGAGACCTCAGGCCAGGCACATGTGCGGGCATGCCCAGAATCCCAAGAGGAGAATGGGGGAGAAGGGATTGTGGTGTGGCCATCCCCCTGGGGGGTGATTTCTTGCTTTCTGTCTCTCTGTCTCTCC